CTCCTCCCCCTCCTCCTCCTCTTCTTTTTTCTTCTTCTTCTTCTTTTTTTTCTTCTTCTTCTTCTTCATTGTTGTTGTTCTTCTTCCTTTTTAAGAAACCTGCAAAGAATAATCCTTCTATTTCCTGGCACTCACTTTTAGTATATCAGTGTCTTGAGTTTTTGAGAGGCAGTATAATCATTGGTAAGGGCTCCAGAGCCAGACGGCCTAGATTTAAATCTCAGCTCAGCCATTTCCTAGCTGTGTGTTCTTGGGGAAGTTACCTATTTCTCTGAGCCTTAGTTTCCTTATCTACAACATGAGTATAATAATACCACCTACCATATAAAGATGTTAGGAGGAATAATTTAGTTTATCCATGTATGATGCTTAGAATAGAGTGAACCTAATTAACACCCAGTTAGTATATAATTGCTAATTAGCACCCAGGCAATGATTACTTTTTATTAGAAGATAGAGGAATATGTAAGCTTCAGTCAGCCAGGGTCTACTTAGATGAGCAAATGAGTCAAGTGGCAATATTAACAGAGTCTGCCTGTTTTAATATAAAAAGTCTTGGTAAATCTGAAAGCATTTACTTACTACCAGAAAAATTGCTGAAGATACTGCTGCTGTTTCTGAGGAGTTCAAAGCCTCATTAGGGAAGCATGATGTATATAGTAGAGAGGTATCCAAGGGAGCAAGCAGCTCAGTGCCATTTGAGTCAGGAGGGATCATGTGGGGAAGTGCCAGAGGGGTATCAAGAGTGGAAAACTGTTGTGATTTGTGGATGTGTCCCAGGCCATGCAGTGAGGCACCTGGAAAGCTAATGATAAAAATTTCTGGTCCCCTGTTAGAATGAAAAGAAAGTGATAGGATCTTGCCCACAGTTAAATTAAATGAGTTGGTTGAGAGGCTGCATGTAGAATTCACATGTGCAACCTTCACTTTTTTATAGAAGTTAATGTTGCTCAACCCACCACCTCATGGGCGGGTCAGGGCTTCGGGAGCTGTGGCTAGCAGGAGGGATTGATCCAGAACACTGCTGATCAGACCCATGGTTGTCAAAGTCGAGAAATGCAGACTCTTGGCTCTACCCTAGAAAAATTGCGAGTTGGGGCCCAGTCATCAGTCTTTTAGTAAGCCCTCTAAGGTGATTCTGTGGCACTTTTAAGTTTGAGCCCCTGGCTGAGATTGTGCAGAAGACCCTGAAATAACAGTTGATTAGGAGTAAATGTGTCATATGCTAATGGTCCCTTCACCTCCATAATGTCATCCAATCCTTACACTGTCTCTGAGGGTAGGTAATTGCTGTTTTATGTCTGTTTTCAGATGAGGAAATGGAAGCACATTTATTCTCTAAGGTGACATCTGGTACCTAGCATAAGTGGAATGGCTCTTAGTCTCTCTGAAACAGTATTTGATTGCTTACAGGTGGAAAGGAAACCAGAAGAAATTTATTGAACTAAGTTGCTGGGGCACCTGGTGTGGGTATTCATATTTTGAGGTGGTTGCAGTCAAGAGAATCTTCCAGCCATTCAAGGAACCTCCATGGAGGTTGACCGTGTTCATTTGTTTCCTAGAAAGTAACTTCAAGTACCAGGATGTTACTGACCTTCAGAAAAAAGGAACAAAATTTTAGTGTTCCAAGCAAGAAAATTCAGACTTCTGGCCTTTATTTTCTTGTTGAGGTACTAAATGTTCTGGAGATTTTGGATTGCAGATAATGACATCCTGATTTCTTGAAGGTGAAGCCACGTTCCGTCTGTTCCCTGAGTTTTCATAATTGGAGGTTACGGAGTGCTACGGAGAACTCATTCCCCACATTCATCAGACACTACATTCTCTGAGTTGTACCTTGAGAATATTTTTTGGTGCTGTGCCTTCCTGTCCTTTCTCACTACTTCTGCCCCACCGTAGGTCTTCATTTTCTACTTTGATTTGTTGCATCCTATCTTGGGCTCCCCCCTTCCTCAGGCTGGGCTGGACACCGCCACCACAGTGCATCTTCTAACACATCCGTCTAAGTATATCCGTCTTGCTGAACAGCTCCTGTCGGCACTCCTGCGCTAAGGCTGTTATGTAGGTGATCTCTGTCTTCACCACCACCCAGTGCAGTAGCATGTAGCATTAGTGTCCTCCTGGAAAAGAAGAGTTACAGGGGATTACATGGCTTGCCCAGCACAGCTCATCATCACTCTACTGTCTGCCCTTCTCTTTGTCATGCGAATGAGTGATTCTTGGTGGTTATATTTGTTTGTGAAGGCTGCCATAACCAAGTACCACCAACTGGGTTCTCAGAATAAAAACTGCCTGCCTCTTGGAGTTCTAGAGGCTAGAAGTCCAAGAGCAAGGTGTCAGCAGGGCCATGCTCCCTCTAAAACCTGTAGGGAAGATATCCTTTCTTCCTTGTAGCTTCTGGTGGCTGGTTGGCAGTATTTGGCATTCCTTGCTTTATACGTGCATCACTGCTATCCCTTGTCCTCATGTGGTTATCATGCCTGTGCTTCTCTGTCCAAATAGCCCCTTTTTATGGGGACACTGGTCATTTTAGATCAGGACCTGCTGGCCTGATTTTAACTTGAGTACTTCCGTAAAGACTCTATTTCCAAATAAAGTCACATTCTGAGTTACTGGGATTAGGACTTCAACATCATTTTTTTGTCAGGGTTGGGGGAACACTATTCAGCCTGTAACAGTAGCTTTGTTCTATGAATGGAAGCAACCTAAATTTATCAGATAGTCCAGACTGGTACAATTGTCACTGAATGAAGCACTTACATTTTTGCTTACTTAAAAAATATATATGCTATATTGTCTTGTAGGAAATAGGAATAGATTTTTTTTTAAAAGTTATTTTCTGAAGAAAATAAGGATGGGGGTCCTTGAAGGCAAAAGGAGGTGGGGAAGGTCTTTCTTTGGTATTGCCTTTGTTGCGCTCTGATTGTGTGTCCCTGGCTGTTCAGGGAGGAGCCTCTATGGATGTGCTGACTTATCTGCCAACCAAGGTGAGGCTACAATAAGCTTTTCCTCTTTGTGTTTGAGTACAAGCATTTCTTTTAGGCAGACAGATGATCCATCTCTGGGGTCTTTTGAGGACCTCGCCCAGCCCTCTGGGGAGTGAACTTTCATTTCCCACTGGGTAATGGATTCAAAGGTTCATGCAGTGTGTGGGAAGGGGATGTCAGGAGGTGTGCCAGGGGAAGAGAGATGCGGGCAGGGGAGAAGGGAAGGGGGCCAAGGATAACAATATCTATGGAATCATTTCCCATAGGGAAGTGGACAATCAAGCATGATATCAAAGGAAGTGAAAACCAAAATAAATACTAGTCACTCTCTGCCTTGAACACTTGTGTGCATGCCCAGGTGGTGTCTTAGTGAGCTGTTGGAGGATATATTTAATTACCTTGGACAAGAGAGGCCCTGTTGACTTTAAGTGGAAAATAAATCAGAGTTAACAGGAGAAATGGCTTTGGAATTAGCTGCTTATCTTCTGCATTATTCTCCAGGAGAGGATGATTCAGTGCCTTCGAAAAGTGATGGGCACAGCATTCGAGAATGGGGGGAAGGAAAAGATAAGAAACAACAGTTTTCATTGTGAACACTGACACTAGGTTTGGCATAAGGGCCTCTTCTTCTCTATTCCTGGAGCCATCTAGCTGGAAAACCCTGAGCGTTCCTTTCAAAAAAGTATTTTATATGGTGGAAGTTCAAAAGCTTCCATCATCTTTCAAGAAAATAATTTATTATTAGTCTTTGGTGACTCTATGTGGTTTACCACTCGTTCATTGATTTATATTAGTGATCTGTATATGGCGTCACAAGATATTTTTTGAGCCAGAGGACCCAGCAGGCCTGCTTTCTGACCTCCCATGAGAATCTAAGGGAATAGTTGCTCTGGGGACAATAGCAGTGGGAAGTTGGGATATCATATTATTAAAAGCTGGGTTTTGCCTGACTTCACAATACAGAGCTCTTTGATCAACTGGGTTGGGCAGTGGCTCAGTCCAAAGACCATTCTTTGCTCTGAGCTCAGGTAGAGTAGCACATACCATACCACGTAGCACATACCTTACCATGTAGCACATACCATACAATGCTTACCATTCCTGCCACAAGCCAGGTGGGAGATGAACGGGGGTGGGCTGTTTCCTTTGCCATCATTGTTAGGACTGCCTCTCAGAAGAGGGTTCTCTCAGAAGAGGAGAGTTAGGTGAAAAAACAAAGTGAGAATATGTTTAATTACTAGAGGTATGTTCGTTTGAGGGACTGGAAAATTAAATAACAATATAAAACAAAGCAACTGTATCTTGATGTAACATGTGTTAGAGCAGGTCAGGGAGGTCAGAGTGGACCACTCAGAAAATGTGAGTTGGCATTGAAAAGTTTGAGTTAGAACAGGGATGGAGTCCCCAAATGCAGTATGACAGAGATTGTGACAAGGTAAAGTTCTGGTTCTTCTAAAACTTTGTTAAGGCTTGTATTGCAATCCTTTCTCCAGGTTGAGATTTGGAACTGAGGCAAGATGCATAGAACTTGGGAAGGGGCCAGGGAAACCTAAAAACAGTAGCTTTGTGTGTAGGTTCTGGGAGGAAGTAAGGTAGGAACATTGGTTAGCCTGGAGAAGTGAAGATTGGCAGGACTCAGGGTGGGAACATTCATAGTTTTCACTGTATGAAGGTGTGTTGTGAGAATCAGGCTGAACAGATGTTTTCACTCTTCACTAAATACAAGACTACAAAGTGAATGGACTTAATACCTTTTAGCTCGAGGGGATTTAAATGAGAATTTAGGGAACCATCATAACTGAAGATGTGGGAACATGGGAATATTTTAATAATGGCATCCCTGGTGTTTACCTGTGGGTAGTTTAGGGAGAGCACAGAAGCACATTTGAGCTGAAGTCTGATCTGGGTGATTTTCTTTGATTTGACTTTGCCTGTGACACTGCGGACTCAGGACATACCATCTTCCTCTTCTCCCCTCTCTGTTGGCCGTCAATATAACTATACTTTTCCGCATGGTAACCTGATACTACAGATGTATTTGATGGAGACTGAGTTGGACTTGAAGGAGACTGGTCTTCAATTTCTGAAGAAATGATTTTCTTTGAAGGTACTGAGGCTCAGAGTAAGAGCTTGGATGTTGATGCTGAAGAGACTTGGTTTCAAATCCTGGTTGCTGCTTACTTTGTCTTTTGGAGCAAGTTACTTAACCTTTCTGAACTTGCTTTCTCAATATTGAAATGGAGACAACCGTAGTACTTACCTGCTAGGCTGTTAAGAGCATTTAGTGAGAGCAGACATACGATGTTACAGTGCCTGGCATACGAGTAAGCTCAGTAGGTGATAGGCATTTTTATTACTGTATTCTAGCCTTTCAAATCAAGGTTGGGAACTCAGGTAAAGCTGCATAATACCTATTTAACATGCTTATGTGAACTCTGCCCTTCTTCTTTCATTACAGCTACTGGCATTCTTGCAAGGACTCTTCACTTTCTATCACCATGGTTATGAACTGGCCAAGGATTTCAGCGACTTCAAGACTGAGTTGACCATCAGCATACAGAATGTGAGTGGGCAAAGAGATAGGCTTCCTTTTCCTGGTTGAGAAAAGGAAAGAACACAAAGTATGGGTCTGATTGCATAGAGATCACTTATTTGGATTGGAATGCAGATGAGGAAGATGGGTCTTGCTTGGGTTCAAAGGGCAGCTGGGGGCAGACATTTGTAGGGTGCTTGATGGCCCCAGGTTAGAGCATCAACCTCTTTTCCATTATTTCTAAGCACTATTTATGTTTTCGGAAGTCCTGCTGATATTTTTGTTTTAAATCTGTAGCACCAGAGTCAGGATTTCCTTTGGCAGTGGAAGGCCCAGCCTCCCTCTGTGCATCTAGCTGCCTGGCCACAAGAGACCTTGGAGGGTGTTCAGGGGTTGGGGGTGGGGCATACATGCTGGCCTCCAGCTCAAAGGATATGATCTTGTTTAACTTTTAGTAAGGCTCACAGGAAATCCAAGTCAGAGCCATTTACTCCCAGTCTCCTTCCCCACATTTTAACCAGCAGGACCTTTTGGTGCTCAGAATTGTGCTAAGGGCCGTTTGGTTAGCAGTTACTGGTCTCAAACCCCTGTGTCACTATGTGGCTGGCTATATTAGTCTGCGTGTTGTCTTTGTCTCTAGATGATGCTGTGTAGAAAAGAAACCCAAGTGTGTCCTTGTGAGTTTTATTGCATGGGTTTAGAAGCCTGGAGCTTGCCCTGCCACGGTTCTCTGTGTTGTTTTGGAAAACAGACAAGGTTTCCCAAAGCATGGCTTCCCCTTAGGCCAGCTTCCTCAGAAGGTAGACTCGGACGTGGAGGTTTACATGTAGCAGGTTTACAGGGGAGTAGGGTCAGAAAAATCACCCGTGAGAGAGAGGGCAGCAGACCCCTGCCAGAGAAGTTGAGCTGTGAGGCCTCAGTCAATGCCCTGGGGTGTCCTGGAGCTGTTATCGACCTTCACAGTGACTTCAATAGAAGCAAGGGTGCCAGGCTTTGGACCCCTTCCCCTTTTGCCCCTAGCCTTGACTAGTCATGGGGTGCAGGTTGCGCTGGGGAAAGGAGTTACCTTGAGTGAACCAGCTCCCTTTTGAGGAAGGAACCATCTATGAACCATCAGCAAGTGGTATTCCTGCAGTTGGAGAAATAAGTCCCTCTGTCTTTTTTTTTTTTTTTTAAGATTTTATTTATTTGCGAGAGAGAGAATGAGAGACAGAGAGCATGAGAGGGAGGAGGGTCAGAGGGAGAAGCAGACTCCCTGCTGAGCAGGGAGCCTGATGTGGGACTCGATCCCGGGACTCCAGGATCATGACCTGAGCCGAAGGCAGTCACTTAACCAACTGAGCCACCCAGGTGCCCCTAAGTCCCTCTGTCTTGAAGGGAGCTTGGGGGACTGTTCTGTGAACTATCTGAATCAGGGTCCCTTGGGATGCTTGTTTAAAATGCACATTTCTGGGTCCAGGGGTACTAAATTAATCTTTAGGGGTGATGCCTGGACATTTGTATTTTCTCCACATTGTCCAGGTGATTTTGATGGTCTTGAGAGTTTTGAGAGTCATTCTGGTATAGGATTTTATGGTCAAAAGGTACTTCTTGAAAGTATTTGCCTAATTCCTAGGTGGCTCAATGTTCCTTACCTGGTTTTAGATCTAAGGATTCATAGGTTGATGTTGTGAATTGTTAGAGATGAGAACAAGGTTTCATTTCTTTGATTTAAATGCCTTTCATCCTAGACAAGAAATCGCTTTGAAGGCACCAGGTCAGAAGTGGAATCACTGATGAAAAAGATGAAGGAGAATCCCCTTGAGCACAAGACCATCAGTCCCTACACCATGGAAGGGTACCTGTACGTTCAGGAGAAACGTGAGTGCTGGTGGTGAACGATGGCTTGGGGTACACTTAGGCCTTTTGCCCGGGAGGTAGAGGGTGTGTCTAGTAGTGCCTCGCCTAGAGCACAGCTTCTGTAAATATAGATTCGGTTGATGAGAGTAGCTGATAGTTGAGTTTTTTAAGGGAAAGATACCCAAAAGGTCTTGTCTACCTCCCCGTGATATGTTCTGTTTTCTTTGTAACTGGAAATTCCCTCAGGAACCTGGAATTCATTGAGGCTCTGTGGTGATTTTTTTCTCCTTAATATCACACTTGACATGCCTGAACGCTTAGCATGGCTTTAGCTGTCGCACGCTTGGCATAGAGGCTCTGAAAGGGCCTTGCATGCTAGACCTTACTGTCTATCAGTAGTCATATCCTTGGGTGGACTTAATATGGAATGATTTTGTTCCATTCAAGACTTGGTTCGGCAAGGACCAAATAGTCATGACTTAGGCCTTCTCACCTCCTTTCTTCAATTGCTGTCATTTCAACCCTTACATTTTGTGAGTAGAAACACAAACTCACTCCGAGAGGTAGGAAGAGAAATCCGTTGTCCTGCCAATGTGATGTCAAGGAAAGAAACACCAGGTGCTGCTAATCCAGACTTCTTTGTGATGACTCATAGGCTACTGCGATAGGTCTGGGGAAAGGCTTTTTGATGGGGCCGTGCTTTGAGGGTAGCACTTCCAGACTTAGCTCATGGAGTGCGAGGGATAGAAGAAGGTCAATTTTTTTTTTTCTTTAATGGATAGTTCTCCTAGTCTACCATCCCTCCTTTTTCAGTTGGACATGTTAATTCTCCCAGATTTTTGCTGGTTCTGTGCTCTTTACTGTCCTTCTGTTGATTCAGGGTGAGGCAAATGTCTTCACTCCTAGAAGCTTACTAATGGAACAGAACACTTGATTTCAGTGATTATTCTAGTTAGTGATTGCTCAAAAGTTTGCTTGGCCCTAAAATTGTTGCCTGGTGACAATGGGGGCAGTAGTGGGGTTTGAGTTTGGAGGCATTGGTTATCTTGAGGGTTTTTATGCCCTTTAATCTTACAGGGATGAGCTTGTTGAGGTTTATAAGAAGTGGAAGGTACTTTAGTACTGTGTTTTGTGTAGACCTCAATATAAGGTGTTACCTTTTTTACCCAATGAGAAGAGCCACCCCAAAAAGTTTAAGGTCAACTTGAATATAGTTCAGTGTCCACTTACAATACTTAATTTATTAATATTATTCACTTACATATATGTAATCTGCACTCACATTAATAAACCAATTTTATTCAAACACTTCACATGCTTTTTAAAACATGAATGTCTTGATAATCATTAGAACCAGATTTTAACTCTCAAACACATGAGTCTAGAGCATATCAATGGGACACAGCTTTTTTCATTTGAAAGTTTTGGTGACTTATTACTTAGAAATAATTTGAAATGTGAAGAAAAATTGCAAGACGAGTATAATGAACAACTATATGCCCTTTATCTAGATGCATGAATTTTTACCATTGTTCCACAATTTATAGAGTTCTTTCTCTTTCTGGGTGTGTGTGTACACATATCACAGTCACAGAGACACACACACATTGCCATTTTTTCTGACTCGTTTTGGAACTGATTCCATACCCCATGCTTCTTTACTTTAGTGTGTATTTCCTATTCTTTTTATGTAACCACAGTATAGTTTCCATATCCAGCAAATGTAACATTGATAAGATATTTAATGTAAATGACAGGTCCTATTCCAATTTTGTCAGTTGTCCCAGTAATGCCCTTATAAAGCATTTTCTTTTCCTTCTGTCTAGATAGGACTTCATACTGCGTTTGTCATGACTTACTCTGTAATAATTCCTCAGCTTTTCTTTGTCCTTCATGACACATTTTTGAAGAGTATAAGCCAGTTCTTTTCTAGAATTTTCTTCACTGGGGGTTTGTCTAATGTTCCCCGGTGATTAGATTCAGGTTAGGCATCCCTTGTCAAATCCTATATAAGTAGTAACATTTGTGTTCTTATCTGGGTACCACGTCTAGCGGCACAGGATGGCCATCTGCCCCTCAGTGGTGATGTTAATTTTGGTCACTCACTCAAAGTATCATTTAGTTTATCCACTGTACAGTCACTATTCTTCCCTTGTAGCTCATTAGCAGTGTATGGGGAGACCCCTTAAGACCATATCTTTCTCATCAAGCTTTGCTAGAGTTAGCATCCACTGGCAGTTCTTGCCTAAACAGATGGTTACTGTGATGGTTGCAAAATGGTGATTTCTCAGCTCTGTCACTCTCCCACATTTATTAGTTAGTGTACTGCAAGGAAGCAACCGCCCTCCCCTCCTCATTCTCTTCTTCTCTCCTTTCTTATCCATCCATCCATCCATCCATCCATCCATCCATCCATCCATCCATCCATCCATCTTATTGTCAGGATGGACTTAAGGCTTTCTGTTCTATTCAGTAGGCTAAATCCAAGTCCAGTACTGTTCTTATTTGTTTGGATGCTCAGATGATTTAAGATACAGAACTTTAGGAATCTTTGTGTTGTGCTATCCTTGGAATTTTTTCTCTGAGCCACAAAAATAAATTAGAATGGTTGGTATTTTTGTCTTTGATGCTTCAATGTAGACACTTATTATGTTGCTTTTTACTTTTTTCATTTCCTACGTAATATTCCACATTTGCTATGGGCACTGATACCCTGAAAAATAACTACTAAATCTTTGTTAAATCTCATGTTACTACTTAAAAACAACAGCAGCAACAACAACAACAAAACCATTTCTGCTCTGTGATCTCTTTGAGCATCTAAGGCTAGTGTTGATTGAGGACCTTGGAGGCTAATAATGCTGATTATGCCTTCTTCCTCTAATAATATTTTGTTATTCAAGATAAAGTAGTTAGCCAACCACCAGGTAAAATCAGGATTTGACTGAAGGGCATCTCCCTCTTTCCTGAGGGATAATATTGAGGGACAGACTCCTTAGATTACATTTGGGTATTTATAGTTACTTCCATTTACATCTTTGTGTCAGAGTTTGCCTGTCTGCTTTTCAGATCATCTTGAGTCTGGTAAAGTACAGATTAGGGGTTTGGCAGTAGGTCAGAACCTCTGTATGTCTTTGCAGAGAGTTGCAGAGCAGCTGTGTGGGAAGCATGAAGTCATCACACCAGATGGGAACAGTGACAGGCACTTTGAGGAGCTTTTCTCTGTTCTTTCCTCAATCATCTTACTTCTGTCAGGGGAGAAGGAAACTTCAAGTGGAGATTGATGATGGGAAAGAGAATTAATTTCCCCAGGGAACCTCTACTTCCCTTATATTTTAAGACCCATTGGATGCAGCATTTAGTGGGAAACAGTCTTCCTTGGTCCCTGGGGAAAGCCCTGGGTCAGTTCCATTTCCAGCCCATGGGATCAGATTTCTGCCTGTTCCAGTCTAGCTGGTGGAGATTACATTGCCCCTAGAAACAGTTTAAGGGTAGGTGAGCACTGTGGGTTGTGGGCTGTGTGTATTTCCAGCATGCGTTCGACACATAGAGATGTTTCATGGGAAATACTACCTTGCAGGTCACTTTGGAACTTCTTGGGTGAAGCACTACTGTACATATCAACGGGATTCCAAACAAATCACCATGGTACCATTTGACCAAAAGTCAGGAGGAAAGGGGGTGAGTTCGTTTTTTAAATTTCATGCTTGATTTGCTTGGCTAACATAGGATGGTTATAATGCATATGTATAGCAACACCTTCAGTGTGTCACTGTCGTTTTCTTTTTTTTTTTTCTACTGAAGTATAATTAGCATACAGTATTAAATTTCCCTTCAGGTATACAGTATAATGACTCCACAATTGTATACATTACTCAGTGCTCGTCACAGTACGTAGACTTTTAAACTCCTTTATCTATTCCATTCACCGCCCCCCACTCACCTTCCCTCTGGCAACCATCAGTTTGTTCTCTATATTTGAGAGTCTGTTTTTTTGTCCATCTGGACATTTGCTTTTTTTTGTTGGTTCATTTGTTTCTTAAATTGCACATTTAAATGAAATCATATGGTATTTGTCTTACTCTGTCTGACCTATTTTACTTAGCATTTATACCCTCTAGGTCCATCCATGTTGTTGCAAGTGGGAATACCTCGTTTTTTTTCATGGTTGAGTAATACTCCTTTATATATATCCCAGTTTCATTCTTTTGCATTTGGCTGACCAGTTTTCCCAGCACCATTTGTTGAAGAAGACTGTGTTTTCCCCATTGTATATTCTTGCCTCCTTTGTTTTAGATTAATAGATCATATAGGTGTGGGTTTATCCGTGGATTCTCTATCCTGTTCCATGGAGCTATATGTCTGGTTTTGTGCCAGAACCATACTGTTTTGATCACTACAGCTTTGTAGTATATCTGGAAATCTGGAATTGTGATATCTCCAACTTTGTTCTTCTTTCGCAAGATTGCTTTGCTGTAGTTTTCCTTACTTTTACACAATAGTTCTAGGAGGAATAGTACCCTAGACAGTAACTATAGCAAGGCGAGTATTCTTAGCTTTAAGTTCTATTAGGAGCTGCAACTAAGAAAGATTCTTGTATTTCACATATATACAATATTAAGTATGTCAAATGTGTTTAGATGCTAGAAATTCCTGGATGGCCTTGTCCTGTGAAACTGATGGATATCACTCTTACTTGATACAAAGAGGGCTGCAAGCCCTCCTGATTATCTGTTGCTGTGTAACAGATCACTGAAAAACTTAGCAACTTTTTTTTTTCTAAAGATTTTATTTATTTATTTATGTGTGAGAGAGAGAGAGCATGAGCAGGGGGAGAGGGAGAGAGGCAGATGGAGAGGCAGAGGGAGAGGAACAAGCAGACTTCCCACTGAGTGGGGAGCCTGACACAGGGCTCGATCCCAGGACCCCGAGATCATGACCTGAGCTAAAGTCAGATGTTTAACCGACTGAGCCACCCAGGTGCCCAAACTTGCCAACTTTTAAAACAACACCAGTCATTTTAGTATTTCTCACAGTTTCTGAATGGGTCAGGAATTGGGTGAGCATTGGGATGGGTGCTTTGGGCTCAGGGTTTCTCAGGGGGTTCCAATCAGATGGTAGCAGGAGCTGGAACAGTGAGGGTTTGAAGCAGCTGAAGGCTGGTCAGCCATGACTCTCTTTCTTTCTCCTGATCTCCTTCCTCCCCTTCCCTCTTTCCCGCCTGCTCTGTATAGTCTCAGGGCCTGTCCATCTGGTTTCTCAATGGGAGATAGTTTGAATTTCCTCACAGCATGGTGGCCTCAGGGCAGCTAAAGATGTCAAGAGTGAATATTCCAGCAGTGAAAGCAGAGACTGCATGTAGCCTTAGAAGTCATAGAGCTCTATTGGTTGAAGCAGTCCTAAAAGCCCCCCAAGCCCACCCAGTTTCATGGGGAGAGGATGCAGACCAGCCTCTTGATGGGAGGAATATTACAGTCACATGAAGAATGTGTAGGATAGAAATACTCTTGCAGACTCATTTTAGACCCAAAGACACCCCCAGATTTAAAGTGAGGGGGTGGAAAACCATTT